CCAGTGCCTGACAGCGGAGAGGGGGGCGCAGGGACGTGGCGCGGGGGCGCGGAGTGGGCCGATTAGGGGAGGGGGGCGGCGGCATGTCCGCCTGAAGGGCGGAGGAGCGCAAAGGGGTGGGGCGGGGGCGGCATGTCCGCCACGAGTTGGAAGGCGAGAAGGCTGCGCTACAAGGCGGCATATCCGCCACGAGGCGGCATATCCGCCACGACCTTTTTGTTATCCCGAGGCCGCCCCGTTGGCCTGGAGAGTTGAAGAGTCGTAGCGCGAATTACTCGCCGCGCGCCCTGGCGGCGAGCTCCTTCTTGACCAGCTCCTCCGCCTCCGCGATGGCCCTGGCCTCGGAGCGATCGGGCGCAACGAGGCAGCAGGGGGCGGAGGGGGCGTCGAGGCAGGGGCGAAAATGAAGAGAGCGCGGAGGAGGGCGTCGAGAAGGGCGTCGGTGAGAATCTGGCCTTGTCGGCCTCATCGCCCGCGATGTACTTCAGGCTGACGTTGCTGCCAGGGACGCCGACCCTGCCGCTGCGGAACTGCACCTGGGGGGCGGAGCAACGATGAACAGTCGCCTGAAAGGCGGCGGGCGCGCAAACTGCGACCCCAGCGGGGCTGCTGGGAATCGCCGCGCGCGCCCGACGCCTCATCGGTGGGAGGTTCAACCCCGCTCGCCAAGTTGCGTGTGGTCTGCATCTCCCACCTCGGCTTCGCCCACTTGCGCTGCTTGTCCTTCCCAGCCGCGCCGTCCGTCTTCTTGCCCGTGGGGAGCGGCGTCTTCTTAGCCACGTTGCCCGTGGCAGGCGGCGTCGTCTTCTTTGCCGCGTTGTCATTGCCAGGCGGCGTCGTCTTCTTAGCAGCATTGCCCGTGGCAAGCGTGGGGGCCTTCACCGCCTCGGCGTTCTTTTTCGTCTTGACCGCCTTCGTCCTCTTATCCATGGCCGCGACCATGGCCAGAGCCGCCTCCGTCGGGGTCTTCTTCAGAGAGCCTGCGGCGATGCCGACCTTCTCAGCCTTGGGCGGCGGCGTCACGGCGACGATGCCGAAGTCGGAGTCGGAGTCGAGCTCGATCGGCAGCTCATGCTTCTTCTGCTTCTTCGCCGCGCGGCTCTTGCTGATCGAGGCCGTTTGGGCGGCGGCGGTGCTCGATAACGGCTGACAGTCGGCGGGTTTGCCGCCATCGTGTGCCGCCAGTTGCTGCGTCGACGGCGCATCCGAACTCCCCGCCGCCATCGAAAGCTGGTGGTTCGAACCTGCTCGTTCTTGCAACGGCTCCTGCGGCTGCTGCGTCTGCGAGCGGTCGATCAGCTGGATGGCTGGGTTGGGCCAGCGGCCGCCGCTGCGCGAAAGCCCCACCTGAAATCAGGCGGATCACCGCCGAACGAAAATATCCCCCCCCCACCCCCATCCCCCTAGGGGGATGGGGGGGGGGGATATTTCACAACACGCCCTCCATCCAGGCATCCAGAAACGTACCCCGCGCCGATCCAGGAACCCACCCCTCGACCCAATACCAGGTGTCCCGCGGGGGAATGCGTTCTGTTATTCCCCGTGGAGCCGTCGGCCAGCGCCCAGAGAACGAATCGGCCGCCGCGATGGGGAGGTGCTGCTGAGGAGAGCCGCCGCCTGGGCCGTGGGATGGCTGCAGCCCGCCGCGGGCGGGCGCAGGCGCGGGCAGCGCGAGGTGGCCGCTCTTCTTCCCTGCACGGAGATTAATCAGCTTCGCAATCGTCACCATCTCGACGGGATTTATCTGCGGCGCCGTCGCTCCAACACCTGGCGGGAAGGCGTCGACGTACGTGATGGGGTACTGAGACTGGAGCCTCCCAGGCGTGATGGGGAGAGCCTGGATGCCATCCCTGGGCGGCGGCATCGTCGCCACGAGATTCTTGAACGAGGATTTCACTGTGGCCAGATATGACTGCAACAGCTCCCTCGTGATCTCGCCCGTCTCCACGCCTGTCTGCTTGCACACCAGCAACAAGAATGCTGCCATATTGGCGGCCGTCGGGCAGCTCGGATGCCTCAGGCCAAGCGCCCCGAGGTGCTCTGAGAACGCCGCCATCTTGGCAGTGAAGCCCGAATGCGGCGAGAGCACGAACTCCCACAACTGAGGCGTCAGAAATTCAATGAACCCCTCGTAGTTCTGGAGCTTCCTCCCCTGCAGGCTGCCCGACGACAGAGCCTGCAAGAAGTCTCCCAGCTCGGACTGCGCCCACCCCACGCCGCCGCCCAAAGCAGCAAACTGCGCACTCTGGAGCTGCGACCAGCGCTGGGACGTCGCCGCCTGGATGCAGGCAGGAAGGTGCTCCGTCGCACTGCCGCGCGCTACGAACGCCGCCCGCGCCTCCTCCAGGCGGCCTCGAAGGATGCCCTCCATGGCAGCGATGCGGCGCGACCGCGCGCCGAGCGGAGTGCGCGACTCCCCGCGCGCGCACGCCGCCCGAAGCCCTCGGAGGAGGGCTCGCCAAAAACGGATCGAGCCAACGCGCGTGCGACGGACATATCCTACTCCTGCTCTTCCTGCTCCTCCTCCTCCTCCCCCTCCTCCTCCTCCTCCTCCTCCTCCCCCTCCTCCCCCTCCTCCCCCTCCTCCTCCTCCTCCTTCTCCTCTTCCTCCTCTCCCTCCTCCTCCTCCTCCTCCTGGGTGAGGGGGGGCGCAGGGGGGAGAGTGTCGAAGGGGGGGCGGGGGAGGGGGTGCCGAAGGGTGCGCGGGGGGGAAGAAGAGAGCTATGGGGGAGGGTGGGTCAAGGAGAGGCCAGGGAGGGGAGGGGGGAAAGGGGTGGGCGGCTTGCCGCCGAGGGGGTGGAAGGAGGCGGCAGAGCAAGCCGCCGATCGGGCGGTTGGGAAGAAGCGGTTTCCCGCCACGAGGAGGAGAAGGCGGTTTGCCGCCAGAGGAGGAGTAGGCGGTTTGCCCCCAGGAGGGATAGGTGGTTTGCCGCCAGAGGAGGAGAAGGCGGTTTGCCGCCAGAAGGGGTAGGCGGTTTGCCGCCAAAGGAGGAGAAAGCGGTTTGCCGCCAGAAGGGCGGTTTGCCGCCACGGAGGGGGAGAAGGCGGATTGCCGCCATGGGGGGGGGAGAAGGCGGATTACCGCCGACGGAGGACGAGGCGACGGAGGAGAAGGCGGTGCGCCGCCTAAGGAAAGGGGGGATAAGGGAGGGCCGAAGACACATGGATAAACATTTTCCTCCTTCCCTCCCCCCTCCCCGCGGGCATGCGCGCAGCCCGCAGCGCCGCGGCCGCGAGGTACAGCAAGTACCTGCGGCGCCTCGGTCCTGAACAACTGAACAACAACAACAACGGAAATTCAATGGATTTCAAAAAAGTTAAGAATAAAAAATACGCAAATGATTAGCAAAAACACGAATATGTTCAGCCCCATCGACTTAGCAGAGATATCTAACTTAGTATATTACTTACATCTACACTTACAAACACCATAAGTATTGCATATGCACACATGAGATGCGCGATCAACAAGTGTACGTTCTATGGCTTAACTAAGATTATGTAAGATGAACGCTCTTACCGCACTTACAGCCACCCGACGATCAAAGCAGAGGAGCCCTCCGGGCGCCTCGCCGGCGCCGGCCGCGCCCTCGCGGCGGAGCGCGGCCGCGCCGCGCTGGCGCGCGCCCGCGCGCACCTGCGGTGCCTGCCCGGCGCCTGCAGGCGCCGCCTGGGGGGGCCTTCGGCGGCGGCCCTGCGAGGCGGCGGCCCGTCGGAGCGGCCCCTCGGGCGATGTGATGTCCCAGGCAGGATCTCGAGCACCAGGAACAAGAGGTGCCGAAGCTCGAGGGTTTTCACGCGTCGGGCCCGGGGAGACACTCGGCCGACACTGTTTCGACACTCTTTCGACACTCTCGCGGCACTTTTCCAGGTGCTCGAAATGATCTCTGGGATGTGGTCCTCGAGTGCGATGGGAGCACCATGTCCTTCGGGGCGGGCCCTTCGAGGCGGCGGCCCTTCGAGAGGCGGGCGGCCTCTCGCGGCCTGCGCGCCGGCCTGCGGCTGCTTTGGATTTTGCGCCTCGGGGGGCCTTCGGTGTGGGTGCGGGTGCGGCCCGTCGCCCGCCTTCGCGGCGATCTCTGTCGGAGCCAGCCGCGGCCTGTGGCGGGCGACGGAGGCTATCGAGGATAGAGGATCGGGGGTCCAGTCTTAAGTCGGGCCTGCTACAGGAAGAATGTTGTGAAATTGTCCAAAAATAGTCCGGGGACGATTTTTCTGATTTTCTTATTTCTCTACCTAGGCTCTGCCTAGAAGGGTTCTTACTCGGTAGCTTGAAGGGCCGGGCAGTGGGTTCCGCCCTGGGCGGTTCCCCCGGCATCCGCCCCGCGGTTCCCCCAGGATCCCCCAGCGCCCCCTGGGTGAGCTTAGCTTAGCTTACCTTCGATTAGCTTAGCTAAGCTTAGCTTAGCTTGGCTTAGCTAGCTCAGCTTAGCTTAGCTTTGCTTATCTCATCTTAGCTTAGCTTAGCCTAGCCTAGCCTAGCCGAGGCTAGCCTAGCCTAGCCTAGCCTAGCCTAGCCTAGCCTAGCCTAGCCTAGCCTAGCCTAGCCTAGCCTAGCCTAGCCTAGCCTAGCCTAGCCTAGCCTAGCTTAGCTTAGCTTAGCTTAGCTTAGCCTAGCCTAGCCTAGCCTAGCTTAGCTTAGCTTAGCTTAGCTTAGCTTAGCTTAGCTTAGCTTAGCTTAGCTTAGCCTAGCCTAGCCTAGCTTAGCTTAGCTTAGCTTAGCTTATCATCTTAGCTTAGCTTAGCTTAGCTTAGCTTAGCTTAGCTTAGCCTAGCCTAGCCTAGCCTAGCTTAGCTTAGCTTAGCTTAGCTTATGCTGCTTTCCTGGGGGCTCCAACTCCTAGGTAGGGTCGCACCGGGATAATCCTGATCATCTTTGAATATGTTTGGTTTGTTGTCAATTTGTTCGGCCAAACATCCCCCTGTATGGGGCACATGCCCAGCCTGAGTCCAGTCCGCGGGCGGCCCGTGTGCGCCGTGCCGCGCTGCCGCCTCCCGAGGCGGCGTCGGCCCTGGCTCCCGGAGCGGTGCACGGCGGGAGGCACGCCACGGTGCGGGGGCCCTGCGCCTCGCATCCCGGGGGCCGAGGGTCGGGGGGGTCGGCGAGCGGGGGTCCCGGGCCCTGGGCCTCCTCCTCCTCCTCCTCCTCTTCCTCCTCCTCCTCCTCCCCCTCTTCCTCTTCTTCCTCCCCCTCCTCTTCTTCCTCCCCCTCCTCCTCTTCCGATCATGCCCTGTCCCGCTTGTGGCCCCGCTTCAGCGAGCCCTGTCCGGGGCCGAGGGTCGGGGTGTTTGGTGGCTCCCGGGAGGTCTCGGCAGCCCTCCCTGGGTGGAGCAGTGGCGATGCGTCCTGGCTTGCCCACAGGGCCACCAGGGAGAGTGCCGAGAACCGTCCGTGGCCTGCGCGAGCAGTTCTACGAGCCGTTCCGGCTGAGACAGTCTTGTTCTTGCACCGTCGGGCTTCTGGTCTAGGAACACCTGGTGCTCGTTCTTCGATCCCCAGCTCAAAACAGACGCCGAATCCCGAAAACGCGAGGGCCAGGGCAGAACGCAGGCTCCTCGAGACTTCGGGGAGGGAGATTTCGGGGCAGGGTTTTACCAGGGGGGACAACGACGAACGCAGACCATACCCCGCAGTCTTTGGCCGATTTTCGAGTCCTCGGTGAATCCGCGATTTTTGAGATTGAGAATGTTGTTTTTCTTGGCCATTCGAGCATGCCTGGGGTTCTGGGAGCATGGCTGAGGAGGGAAAAAAACACACAGACACAAGAATTCGTCGATTCCCCAGAAAATATGGGAAAATATGGGAAGTGGTGTGGAAGACAAAACCCCCCAAAAAATATGGGAAAATATGGGAGATATTTTTATTTGTGTGTATTTAGTTGTGTGTCCCAGTTCCCCTTCAATGGCGTGGCATGCCCAATGGGAATGCTGGGCTGGCCGGTCCCCGCTCACAACCGTGGAGCCCTCGTCTCGGCCTCGGGCCGCCGAGAGTGCGACTGCGGCGGGCGGCGCCCCTCGTGTCGGGACGATCGGAAGTCGAGTCGGGCATCGACTACACTCGATGTGATTGCAAAAAAACCCAGGATTGCAAACAAAAAAAAAAACAGGGTTTTTTGCAATCCTAGGTTTTTTTGCAATCCTTCGTTGATGGGAGCCTCGGGAGGCGACACTGAACTCTGATCTGCCTGCATTTGGACCGCCTTAGGCCCCGTCTCCTGCGCCTCCTCGCCCTCCCTGCTCCTCCTCCCCCTCGTTCTTCGTTTTTCGTCTCCCGTGAGCGGGCGAGCCCGGTCCAAGTCCGGTCCCAAATGTGTTCCAAATCTGGCCCAAATCCAGCCCACATCGGGCAGTGCCGGGGGCCACGTAGGCTCCCATGGAAGAGACACCAAGGCTACAGAGCTGAATTACGTCAAAACTACGAGTCTTGAGCAAGCCTGGAGTTTTCGTTCTAGGAGCACGACACGAACGCTTTTGTTGTGGGCGAGGAAACCACTTCTGGGGTAAATCAGTTATGTAGTCGATCCCCTGCCCGAGAAATGGATGCGGAAAGAGTGGGTGCGACGCCGGGGGCCCAGCAGCAGTCCCGGTTCGTTTTGAGCAGGGCTCGCGATGCCCGCGCCGCCGCCGACGCTGTTCCCTGAAGACACGAGGCCGCCCGCCCCACAGGCGGCTGCTGTCGGTCTGGGGCAACACTTGTTGTTGGACATTGTGCCCATGTTTTCCGTACCCATGTTTTTTGCGCGTCCAAATCATGAGTTCCTGCTCGTCGTCGTCCTCCATGTGCTCGTTCGGTCGGCCAGACGTCGCACGGAGTCGAAGCGCAGTCACAGAGGACGGACGGGAGCAGGAGAGGAACCCGCAGGCTGTACGCCGCCATGTTGCGCCCATGGTCTGCCCCTGCAGGTGCAAGGATCCCTGTGCGCGGCCATACAGCGGCAGGGCAGCAGCAGAGGCGAAACGACTCCACCTCCTGCTCCTCCTCCTGCCCCTCCCTCCCCCCGCGCTCCCCACTGGCGGCTCACCGCTGCTCCTCCCCCCCCATCCCAATTATCTTATGCCAGTTGCGCTGCGCTGCAGATCCAGCGTGCGCGGGTGCGCTTATGGCGGCCAGCCTGAAGAAGACCACCGTGCAGCACCACGGACTCGGCAACTCAGCTGGGTAGCGGAGCGCTTACGTACTTGGTCATGGTTGCTGTCAGGCCCGCCCTGGCGCCATGACTGGCCTGGTCAAGTCAGGATCGTGCGCAGGCGTGTGGGCGCCGTGCCCAGAGGGCCGTCCCGTCATGTTGCTCACGCGGCTGCGATGGTTTTGATATGTCGGCCGTTGTCTGAGCGGCGCTTGTCGGCCGCATTGGGTCCCTCCGCGGCCGCGCTGTTGTATGGTTGCTTCCGTTGCAAACCGCTGCTTGCAGCCGCCGCTATGGGTGACTCAGTTGGTGTGACTGCGAGCTGCTGGATCTGGATCTCCGCACACTTCCCCGCCCGTCGGTGCCAGCTGCTGGATCTCCGCCCTCCGTCGAGAAGGCACCTGCAGCCTGCAACCCGCGGCCTGGAGCCACGCCACTCGACACTCAAAGAGAGCTGCTCGGCGGCAACGGTCGGCTGGCGAGGAGCCGCACGGCCGATCTCTTGCTTGCCCGGGGAGCCTCCGCAGGCCCCCTGCGGAAGCTCACCCGCCGCACGGTTCCTTCCCCCCGCAGAGGCAAGGCCGCTCGGAGGAGCAACCGTTTGGCTCAGCTCTGACGCTACGAGCGCGTGCGCTCGGCAGCCTGCGCAAGAAAGAAAAGTTTGGCTCAGCTGCGCACGTGCGTGTGCGTGTTTCCTTCTCTGTGTGTGTGAGTGTGTTTGAGTGTGTGGTGCTGCCTGTTCTCGTTGCCTCGCGCGGCGGGCATCGGCGCATCCTGGGCGTCACGGGGGGCGTCGCCTCACGATCTGCCCGACCCCAGCACGGTCCGTAGCCGCAGCCATCTCGGCTTCAAGCCTGCCGGGCTTCCGTCCATAACATGGGCTTGCGGGTTCGTTGAGCCGGGCCCTTTTTGACACCGTACCTCAGGCTTGCATGGCCCACCTGCTCATGGCCCATCTGTACGGGGCACTGCTTCTGGCCGTGCCATCGGGCATTGCGGCTTTGTCCGGTTGCCTGCGGCGAGCCCCGCCACCGTGCCAACCCAGCATTCTTGGTGGCGTTTCTTCGAAGGGGCAGGACAAGCCGTCACATGCTACAGCATTCGTCCTCGCTTCTTGCGGAGCTGTGGTAGAGCTCCTGTGAGCTGTCTTGCGGCTGTCTTGGGCTCATGTGGGGCGGTGGGTCCGTCCATTGGGGCCTTCTTGGGCCGCCTTGGAGCTCTGTTGGGCCGTGTTGTTGCTCTCGTGGCCGTCGATGGGGCCTCCTTGGGCCCTCCTGTGGCCGTCGAGAGCCGTCCAGGAGCCCTCTAACGTTGGTTGTCTCGGGTCCCTCCAAAAGCCTCTTGTCGGGCCAGCCTGGGGCTGCCTTGGAGGCCGTACTGATATCCAGAGACCGTCTTTGGCTGTCTTGGAGCCGCGTGAGGGTCATCTTGGAGGCCGCTGTGGCCGTCTAGAGCGGACTGAGGCCACGCCAGAGGAGATCAATGGCATGGGCTTTTTCGGACCCTGTTTGGGGTCGTCTTGTGGCCATGTTGCGCGACATTGGACGCACCTTGGGCCGTCTTGAAGAAGCCATCCTAGGTTCCTCTTGGGGCCATATCCAGCCGTCCTGGAGACAGCTTGGGCGGCCTTGGTGACTCGCCTGGGCCGTCATTGGAACCATCTTTGGCATTCTGAACGCTTCAGAGGGCGCCAGGGTGTCGTCGGACCGCCCAAGAGCTCTCCAGAGGGTATGGGCGGTGCATGCGGGGGGGGGTCTTAGATGATGACAGAATCCTTACCAAACAGCACTCAGCATTCTACCACGCCTTAAGGTGTCAGAGGGCACGATGGCGGATCCTTTCGGGATCGGTCGCTGGAGGATCCGGATCCTTGGGTGAGAAACTGCAAGGAGAAGGCGATAGCCAGCCAAAGGGACGAGCTAGACTACGGGCCCTGCTTCGATGAGGAGGAGGAGGAGGTGGAGGAGGCGGCTATGCACACCAGCCTCATTCAGCGACCCAAGGTTGCCGCTGATCCGAGGCAAAATATCCCCACAACAATGTTCACGGAGGCCGACATGCTGTGCGACACTATTCCCAGACCCCTGTCCGACCGCGACGACCGATTAGGCGCTGGCAACCCAGCGTGCCGTTACGAGCCACCGAACGGTGTGCTACGCTATTATACTAAGAATCCCGAAGACATCGCCATTGTAATCCCAAGCAATTACCAGAAAGACCGCAACGTGTCCGACAATCCCGACGACCATGACCCCCTGTTTCTCGGCGTGCTCACTTGGAAAATGTATGCCAAGTACCACGGGTACGCGTTCTACAGCGGGCCGCCTGAGTTCACCTGCCCGGAGCTTGAGGAACGGCACCCGGCGTGGGCCAAGCCGTGCATGGCCGGGCAGCTTCTCAAGAAGCACAAGTACTTGATGATGGTGGACAGGGACACCACGGTGATCAAGCCTCGCTTGCGGCTGGAGCCCCTGTTCGGCATGGCGGGCTTGATGGGGGGCAGCCCCAGCAAGGACATAGCCGTTGCTGAGGAGTGGGGCTCCTGCAAGAAAGGCGTTCGCGCTCCGATGAGCGGCGATGTCAACACCGGCGTGGTGCTCGTGAGGCAGTCTGCAACTGCGATCGAGGCGCTGTCCACCTGGTACTGGGGGCCCACCAGGTTGCAGGCCTCCCAAACCCAGATCTCAGCCGATATCTTATTTCAATCTGGGCGATTTACCTAGATGTCTGTCTCTTGGGCTGGCTTCTCAGGCATGTTACCATTAAATTTATCTGGGGCCCCGGGGATATGTTCGGCACTTTTGGGCAACACATTGAAGAAGCTGTTGTTCATTGAATTGTCTGGGAATGGCGTCGGAGCAGTCAGAGTCGGAGGATCGTTGCGAAACTCAGAGTACGATTCTCTCCGATCGCCGACGTCGCCGTCGCGTCGGCGTTGCATCGGCGATACGGTGCGATCCACCGACTTTGTCTGCTCCCTCACCACGTGGGAGGCCTCCGTAGGTGCAAGGATGTCACCCCAGAACCTGTACAGAAGCCAGCTTGGTGGCCATTCCACCAGGAGCCTTGCCAAGGGTGCGGCTGCATCGCGCGTGGGGTTAACGAGTGGTCGTACGACCAGGTCGGTTTTTATGCGAGCGTCGTCACCAACGAGTCTTTGAGCAGTATGGTGACCGTATTTCGTTCTGGTTGCCCCATCAACAGCCCGTTCGCAGATTTCATTCCCCATCTGATATCAGGAACTCCTACTAAAAGGGCCTACGACGCCAGCCACCGGGACGTCATCTCGAAGAACTTGCACGATTGCGTCAGCAAGTTGATGGATGCACCTCCTGGCGATGGCAACCTCTACGAGCGTTGCTCCCTCTGCGACGCCCTGCCTGCAGGGTTCCATCCCCACAGCGACTCGTGGTCCTCGTCGTGCCGCAGTCGTGACCCCGTGCCCGAGTCGCGCGTGAGCACGAGGGACAGCAGGGCGGACGGAGACGAGTCGAGCGAGATGCTTGCCTGAGGGTGCGGGCAGGACGAGGCGAACATCGTAAGTTCCCCACTCGAAGAGAGTGACGACGCAGCAGTAGGCTAGACCTCAGTCGAAGACGTCGGCGTTTTGATGCAGCAAAAAAGTCAGGCGAGTCTTGAGTGAGTCCGGCTCCCGTAGGTGGCAGTTGCCCCCAAGTTCGAACACAATTCAAGAGGATTGCACTATTCCGCCGACCCCGAGATGAAGTGAGAAGCCCATGGATATGATTAGGGCGAGGTAAGAGCTAGGCAGACTTGCATGACGGGCTCGGTTCCAGCCGTTTGTGGCTTGGATGTCCTTGCAGCTCTCAGCCGAGTCTCCCTTCCTCTGACAGGGTATTGGACCTCAGGGGAGGGAAGAGGGCCCCCCCCAAACAAAAGAAGTCAAGGCAACAACAACAACAGCAACAACAACTAAACAAAACTAATAACACAACAAACACACAGGGGAGGGGAGAGGCCAAGAGGGACAGCCCAGCGTTCTCACACGCGTCTGGATAGCTCCTGCTAGCGCCTGGGGTCTTTGAGGGGGCGTCGTGACGGCCTTTTCGGGGGGCTTCGTTGGGCCCAGGACGGCCTCGGGGCCTTTGGCAGGGCAGATAGGGGGCCATTGGGGGAGCTTCTTGGCCGTCTCTGGGGTTGTCTCCTGGCCTCTGGGATTTTTTCTTTTCCCCTTCTAGAGTCCCTCTGGAGGCCTTCTGGGGCCTTCTTGGTCCTTTTGGGGGCCGTTTTGGGGGCCTCTTGGCGCGCTCTTGGGACATTAGTGGGTTGACTTGGGCGATCTATGGGGCCCTTCGGGGCCGTCTTAGGTTGTCGAATGCTCGAAAGGATTAATTTGAACGTTGAAGCCCTTCAAGAACTGAGGGAACTATGTCTTGTTTGCGCCTCTCGAAGCCTTCTTGGAGGTGCTCTTGGGGCTTTCTTGAGGCGCCTTTTTTGGCCGTCCTCAGGCCCGCTCGGGCGTCTGGGTGCGATCTTGGGGTGGGTCGGGGTCCGCTCTGTAAACCCCCCGGGCCTTTTTGGGCCAACCTGGAGGCGTCTGGGGGTGGATTTGGGAGCTCGGAGGGCCCCAGAGGTACGTGGACGAGCTCGTGCCCCCCCCCCCCCGTGCCTCCTTCCCCCCCCCCCCCCCGCCCACCCACCCCAGAACAGAAGTTTGTAACCCAGGGGAGTGGGCAAGGGGGAGGGGAGGCAGCCAATCATCACACGCGCCTTTTCACCCCCAGCAAGCGGGGAGGTCGGCGAATTTTTCAGGGGGTCCAGTGAGTCTAGGTCCCTTAGATGGGTCCGAGTAGATGGGGTCTGAGGATCGCACCGCATCGGCGATGCACCGGCGATGCGGCTCGATGTGCAGCCAGAGTTTTTCCCCGCGGGCGTCGCCGATGCATTGGCGATGCGGCACGATCCTCCGACACCATCTACTCGGACCTCATCTAGGGTGCCTCTAGCGAGCGGGGTGCATGGCTGGCTGGGGAGGGAGGACAGGCAGCTCGGGCGGCATCGGGAGCACGAGCAGT